CAAAATAATACAATAACAACCATCACCACACACAGGTTCAATTTTTTTCTTATGATGAGAACTTTTAATATCTACTCTCATAGCGACTTCCAAGTACACAATACAGTATGATTAGCTATGGTCACCATGCTATACATTACATCCCCAGGACTTATTTATTTTATAACTAGAAGTTTGTACCTTTTGATCACCTTCACACACTTCGTCCATCCCCACTCCCTGCCTCTGGCACTCTGGCAACCACCAATCTGTTCTATGTATGAGTTTGGGTGTTTTTTTTTTATTTTTAGATTCTACATATAAATGAGATCATATGGTATTTATTTTTCTCCATCTGACTTATTTCACTTAGCACAATATCTTCGAGATCTATTCACGTTGTCACAAATGTCAGGATTTCCTTCTTTCTTATAGCACATTTTCTTTACCTATTCATCCAGCAGTGGACACTTAGGTTGTTTCCATGCCTTGGCTATTGTAAATAATACTGCGGTAAACATGGAGGTGCAGATATCTTTTTCAATTTGTTATTCATTTTCTTCAGATAAATTTTCAGAAGTGGAATTGCCGGGTCATATGGTAGTTACCAATTTTAATTTTTTGAGAAAACTCCATACTGTTTTCCACAGTAGCTGCATCAATTACATTCCTACATGAGGGTTCCCTTTTTTCCACATCCTTGCCAACACTTGTTATTTCTTGTTTTTAATAATAGCCATTCCAACAGGTTTTAAGTGGTATCTCTGTGGTTTTGATTTGTATTTCCCTGATGATTAGTGATACTGAGCATCTTTTCATGTATATACTGGCCATCCGTATGTCTTCTTAAAAAAAGTCTATTCAGATCCTCTCTCCAATCTTCCCAATGTCTGAAGTCAGAACTTGAAAATAATTATTGATCTTCCCTTCTTCAACCCCTAAATCAAGCTAACAACAAAACCTATCCTTTCTTGCGGGGGAGGTTATAGCTCAAGTGGTAGACTGCATGCTTAACATGCACAAGGTCCTGGGTTCAATCCCCAGCACGTTCTCTAAATAAATTAAACAAACAAACAAACAAACAAACTTAATTATCTTCCCCCTCAAAGAAAAAAAAACAACCAAACAAACAAAAAAACCTATCCTTTCTCCAAAACATAGCTTCATCCTATTTTAGGTCACATTTAGCTCTTGCCTGGGCTTTTGCACTAATCTCCTATCTCTTTGCTTTCTCTTTTACCCTCCTTCAGTCTTCTACAGAGAAGCTATCTTTTTAATAAGCAGTTTTGATCAGTTCACTTACCTGCTAAAAACAGTCCAGTCGTTTCCTATTGCACTCCAAATAAAATCTAAAACTCTAACCATGCCATGTAACTTCCTACAGAATCTGGCCTCTATTTACTTCTTCATTTTAATTTCTAGCCATGCCTATTTTACTCAGGATAGTATATATTCATTCCCTATCATAATCTGACTCTCAGAAGGCACTCAGTAACCACTGAAAAATCAATGCATAAATGGAGATAATGACTTAAGTTTTAGACATATTTGAAGTAAAATGTCTAATGAGATTATAATAATTAGTGATTCTTTATATGATTACATTACACAGGAGAGAGGATTAGGCTAGAAATATATATTTGATAGATTAAAAAGAGTTAGAACACAAAATCTATTTCTCCTCCCTTTTCTATGAAGAAGATATGGAGTGAAAAAAGAAGAGGCCTGAGTATGGAATTTGGGAGCAATTAAAGAAAGAGCAGAGAAAGATAAACTTGCAAAGGAGACTAAGAAAGAGTCAGAAAAATAGGTGGAAAACTAAGAAAATATGATGACATAAATAAAAACTAAAGAAGAGAATTTCTGCCCAAAGGCAAAAAAGAGACAGAGAAAGAAGTTGTCAATTGGTGATGATAGTAAGGTGAAAAGTCTGTGTGGATCTAGTGCTAAGGCAGCCCTTCCAAGCCATAGGTGAGACGCACAGATAAAGGTAATTAGCAGGCAAAGAGAGGCTTTGAAGAAGTAACTAGATAGGCTGGTGCCCTGGCAATCTCCCAAGCTGGAACGTACAGTCTCGTGTTGACAATGATTCAGAAGCTGTATGTAGGCTCAGTAGGAAATAGTGATTTTTTATGCATGTTAGAAAGTTGAAACTATATATAAGCAAAATAGGAAAATAAAAACTACAGTATTCTCTATTCAGAGTTTACCGCTGTTAACAGCTTATCATATATCTTTCTGTATCTTTATCTTTACATAGGCATATAAATATGTATTTTTAACCAAAGTGGTATCATACTCGATGTCCAATTTTGTAACCTAGCTACCTTTTTAAAATTAACAATCTCTACCTTTTCAAATCAATACATTTTCATCTTACCTAAAAACTCAAATTCAGATTTTCCCATTTGTCTCCAAAATATCTTTACTCTGAAAAGAGTAACTAAAACTTGAAAAATTATTTTTCCTTTCCTGTAGGAACCATATTTCAGGGTAACCAAAGAGTTCCAGGTAATAAAGGCAAGCTCTAGTTTACTGAATAAGGTCAGAATATAGAAAGAATGAGGAAATTAGAATTATATTACAATTCTTATTGAAATTATTGGTTCTTGTTAGGGTTTTTAACGGGTATCAAAGGATGAGCTTTATGTTTGAAGGGGAAGTAGACATTCGTATAGTGTTAAAGTAATATCATATAAATTATTCCTTAGTCACAAGTTTATAAAGTTGGGATAAGACTGCCATGTCATTAATTCTGTTATCAGTCTAAGCATCAATGATTGTCATCAATCAAACAGCATGAAAGATGTTATAGAAAAATATACTACATTACCTATAAATATTCTAGTCAAAATGTTTATCTTGAATTGATCAACACATTTAATACTTTCAAAGAAAGATTTCAAATAGCCATTTTTACGTCTATCAAAAGTCATAGATAAGATGTTCTGGGTTGCTAACTGGGAAGGCAAAAAAATAAGGAAATGTATGCATTTGTGCTTAAAGACTAATTTTGTTTTACTATGATTCACTGTACTTAAGAAAGAAGTATGGCAAGACGTGACTGGCTTAGAGTGTTGACTCCACTTATCTTAAGAGGTGGTCTGGTTGGAAGCCTTACTTGAATGGAAAACACAACTCTGAAATTGAGTCTATTTCCTGGTTGCTGAAGAAGTGGCTTTCACTCTTACATCACATGTGAGATCGATGTGTCCAGATTCTAAAATAAATTGAAGATTGTCCAGATTCTTAAATAAATCTGTTCTCATGGCCTGACGTTATGCTCCTCTATGTATATTTCATAATTCTCAGAAGTAGGCCAGTTGCTGCAAAAGCTTTGGTATCAATGGAAGGTTGGTAGAGTGTATAGTCTATGTATAATTTTCTTACAACTGAGTAGAGCAATATTGTGCAGAATGTCATAGTCTCAAAAGATAGTAATCAACAATTCATATTTCTTGAGTTCTGTAATTCTTCTAACAACATTGTAAAACAGATTTTTTTTCCAACTCCACCTTACAGATGAGGAAAAGAGCCTTGTAAGGTTAGTTATTTAAATGTTAGTTAGTTAGTATAAATGATACGGCTAGGATTAGAACTGAGATCTGACTTCAGAGTTGGAGCTCAACTCCGATACACTACACTACTTCAGTGAGTCAAATTTGTATTAATAAACTTTATAATATTGATTGAAGTGATTTTTGAGAATTTTCTGGACCTAACAGTAATACTGACTCATAACAGTTTCTAAATTATCACCTCTAACCTAATAGGAACATCTATGCATGAAATGAAAGTTCTTTGTTCTTGTCATATAATAAGCACTGAAGGAATGAAACATTAACAGAATACTTCTGACTTTTTTTCAGATGTCAGTACTATTCAAAGCAGAGCCTAAACTTTTACTTGACATTTTTTGCTACTTTTTATGAACTCGACAGTTGTGCATTTGGAATCTGTTCAAATTCTATTTGTAGCTGAATCATGTGAATGACAAGGAGATCAGTGCATCTGCTTCTTAGCCTCTCCAGAGTAATCTGTATTTGCAGAATGCCTTGTATAAATCTGAACATATTAACATGCTCAATCAGATTTAGTGACCACAGGTTATATTATGTTAGGATTTTCAAAGTGGTTTAATAGAGGTTTGGAGCAAATAATAGGTAGCATGAGTTGCTTCTGATTTGAAAACTTTTCCTCAAACACATCATAGACATGATAAAGAGGAAATGATTACTGTATTTGGGTAAGGGTAGAAAATAAGTAATAGTTGTACAGTACATTCCCACTAACCTGACCTATAGGTAGAGAAAAGAAAGTAATATATTTCAAAGGTTTTTTTTTTCTAAAGAAGGGACACAGTTATAGTTTAGAGTATGTGCCTCTAAGAAATGAGACATTAAAAAAATATATAATCACATACCATTACCACACCTAAAACAATTAATAATTCCTTAATATCATGTAATATGCAGTCAGTATTAAAATTTTCCTGATTGTCTCACTAATGTCTTTTTATAAAAGTGGTTTGTTTGAATCAGAATCTAAAAAGGTCCATATATTGCATTTGGTTGATGTCTGATAAATCTCTTTTAATCCATAACAGTGCCCTCCTTTTTTTAGCTTGTCTTTCTTTGTGAATAAAGGTCATTATCTTCTAGAATTTTCCCTGTTCTTAGTTTAGATCATTGTATTTATATAGTGTACTCTTTTGTAATAATTTAAGGGAGGGGGTAGGATAAGAATGTAAATGATGTCAGGTCCAAGACTATCTGCTAACAGCAAAAGGAAGTTAGTGGGAAGTAATTAACAATGACAGACCACCAGAGGTGATCTCTAGAAAGGAGCTGACACTCAGAATGTAATTAAATGGAGCTGTGCCAACTCCAGTCCATTTCCAGGAGGGGGTTACAATGATTAATGGTTAAAGGAAATGACTGGAGGAATGGCATTGGAAGTCAGGTCTCAACTGTGTCTGTTAGAATACCAGGCAAAAGTAAAGCTCCCACAGGAACTGACTGAAAACAATTAAAGGAGAATCAATCAGACCTAGAACAGAGGGATGAACGTGACTGGAACACACAAGACAGACAGAGTATAGGTTAGGTACCTTTTTACTCTACTTTGCCATATCTGGGGACCAGTGTTCTAGATGGGTAGGAGAGACACTAAATACCGAGGATATCTGGTAGAAGATATCTAGGTTAG